CAGCAGGAGGCCTCACAACGTTCTTGTTACCTGCTCGCACCCCAGCACATGGGGCCGGAGGAAAGACATGGCACCAAGAGACTGGGTACCGTGAAAGACCCCGGAGGTGGTGGGAGCCAGTGGAGCAAGAGCTTCCCCTGCTTTTCTCTGCAAGGCGACAGCAGGGAAGGTGAGATTTCCACCAACTCCCCCCCAAACGCATGCAGGCAGCTGGATCAGCCGCCCTCTGTCACTGCAGGCTCCCACGGGCTGCCTACAGCATGCCAACACGGTGTCCCAGCAGTTGAGGTCAAATTTTGTCAATGCAAGTTTCTTCTCCTTACATGAAAAGATCCATAAGGTGCCAGTGTGTGGCTAGGACCCAGTAACACTGGAGTGCCTCAGTCATGGCCCACAGCGTTTTGAGACCTTCAAGATATTGCAGTAGTCCATGAAGTGAAAGGATGGGGTGGAAAGTTTCTGCCACAAGATACCATGAAAAATAATTGGTATTAACTAATTTATAGGACTTGCTGAAAAACAAACAAAAAAACCCCCCAAGATTTAGTATGTTTTTTTCAGAATATCAGGAGGGCTTACCACTTACAAAATTGTAAGTGGTAAATTTCCCAAAGCAAAAAAGCTACTTATGGCATGAGCTTGGTTTAAAAGAAACACAATTCGGATCCAGGTTTCAGTGCAGCTGCTTTTGATAACGCCTTTAAAAAGTTGCTAGAATATTTAAAACACAAAACAAACCTGACAGCTTGTGTAATAAGCTTTGTCCTCACTGAATTTCAAGTTACAGTTGTGTAAAGCCAAGCTACAAGAACTGCTACGCAGAACACAAATGGAAATGGAAACCTTGGATGAGTGACAACTCTAACATGCTTGTTTGAGCATATACCTAAATAGGATGCAGTTCTGAAAGATACAACTTAGGCTGCATTGCTTCTTTGGACTGGGAGGTTAAGAATAATTACAAGTTACTAAAAAGTTTGACTCGTACTTCTAGTCCCCTAAATGAGAAACTATTCCTTCATTTTCATCTGTGTCATTCCTGAGTCGTATCATGTCAGTACTACAAAGCAGTATTTGAGCCTTTGCAGCCAAAGTATATCTTCTAGGTAGGAATCATACAAAAGACAGATATTAGTCATTATTAATCATTCTTCATTAGTAATTATAAAAAAATAATGTTTTAAATTACTAAAAAATCAATAGATTTTTTGGTAACTACCATATTAAAACACAGAATATTTAATAAAAAGGATTTTCTTTACTTTTTCCTTGGTATTTGAATTGCCATGTGTACACCTGTCTTTTCCCATAACTAATTTTTGAACACCTGCACCAAACAACTTTTCCACGTTGATTTTTAATGCAATTCAAACTGTAATTCCTTTCCCTGAAGAACCTCTGGAAGATAAGAAAAAGGACAGAGGTAGAATCGGCATT